AAAGGGTAAGTCAGCAACACCTGCTGCCATGTTTTCTTGTCATGTGTCTTTAAGCACTCTCCAGTCCATTCCCTTACTTCTGAATGCTCTTAGATCTGAGCAATGAAAACTTGTAGCAGATGAGAGAGGTCGATCAGATACGGCACAGCAGAGCATCCTTAGCGCTGATCTCTGCAGCGAGCTGGGATGCCTCTGCCCCATGTGACTGAATGATGGCCAGAAATTGGTTTGTGAATTTTGAGACACCTTTTTGTATATGGGTGTGGTGGTTGTTTTTAAATGAAAGCATTATGGTGTTGATGTATGGCTCCATTGATTCCAGTGTCCACTTACTTTTGTGACTTCTTTGAGATCATGGCCATTTATTTCAAAGGTTTTTGAGGTATGTGTCTGTACAGGCACATGAAGTATTTAATGCAGATATTAATACCCAGAAATGTTTAATGTAAAGCAGGTAACTCCAGGTAAAGAACTGGAGGGGTATAGTCCCAGTCGTACTTTGTTAATGTATATTAAGTTCTCTTTGTGCATGCAGTTGATGATCACAAATTACATACTACTTTTCTGGAGGATTCTTGCCTCACTTGTTGAGATCACCTAGTTTCATTAATTTTATTTTTCCCTATAAGTGTGTGTCCTCAGAAATACTAGATTTCCTTGGAGATATACATGTATCACATGCAACTAGCTAGGAAGCCCAAATACAAAAATACTTTTTCTCTTGCGTTCGTGTTCATAGGTGCAGTGAGTGTTGGTGTCAGTAGTGAGAACTTGGGTCAGTGCATTTCTGAAACGTTTTGAGGAGCTGTAGGAACATACAACCTGATGGTGTTATGTCTGGTTTTTTAAAAATAATGCTCCATATGTTTTAATCCCATTCTTTTACTTAAAGATGTAAAGACTGCTTCACTGTAACTGGTGAATAAAGTGGACTTGGAATGTTCGGTTAAAGTAGCACAGAAACAAAGCACATGGCATTGTTCAGCCTGGAACAACCCAACCATCTGCTTTCTTTCAGTAAGTTTTAGTCTCCTCTTGAATGGAAACAAATTTTTAGATGTTTCTCTTCTAATTTTTGTACAGGCTATGAATGAAATGAATGGGAAAGAGATAGAAGGGGAAGAAATTGAAATAGTGTTAGCAAAGCCACCGGATAAGAAAAGGAAAGAGCGTCAGGCTGCCAGACAGGCCTCCAGAAGCACCGCGTGAGTGTTCATCCCTGTGTACCTAACGCTGCAGAAGGTGTTCTGCTGTGAAATACGAGCTAGTTTAGAAGAACTCGAATGCCTTTTGTTTTCTCCGTGTCGTGTATTGTTAATCAGCAAGGGGAAAATTGTACTTACTCTGGGAGACTTTTGAAGAGAAATAATTACATGTTTCTTTTTCTTACTAGGTATGAAGACTATTATTACTACCCTCCGCCTCGCATGCCACCTCCTATTAGAGGCAGAGGCCGTGGAGGGAGAGGTGGATATGGCTATCCCCCAGATTACTATGGCTATGAAGATTATTACGATGATTATTATGGTTATGACTATCATGACTACCGTGGTGGCTATGAAGATCCCTATTACGGCTATGATGATGGCTATGCTATAAGAGGAAGAGGAGGAGGAGGAAGGGGTGGGAGAGGTGCCCCTCCACCACCTAGGGGGCGGGGAGCTCCACCACCAAGAGGTAGAGCTGGCTATTCGCAGAGGGGGGCACCCATGGGACCGCCGAGAGGAGCCAGGGGTGGGAGAGGGGGTCCCGCGCAGCAGCAGAGAGGACGTGGTGCTCGCGGAGCCAGGGGCAACCGTGGGGGCAACGTAGGAGGCAAGAGAAAGGCAGATGGGTACAACCAACCTGATTCCAAGCGCCGCCAGACCAACAACCAGCAGAACTGGGGCTCCCAACCCATCGCCCAGCAGCCGCTCCAGCAAGGTGGTGACTATGCCGGTAACTATGGTTACAATAATGACAACCAGGAATTTTATCAGGATACTTATGGGCAACAGTGGAAGTAGACAAGTGAGGAGGGATTGAGAATATTGGAAACCTAGAATTGGCTATAGCTGTACATCCTTCAAAACAAAATTGGCTTACTGTTTCATCCTTCAGTAGCGATTGGCTGCCATTTGTATTGGGCTGAAGAATCACTATTGTGTATATACTCGAGTCTCTTAGTTTTCTTTTTTTTTCATAAACGCACTTGGACATTACTGGGCTTGCAGAATTCCTGAACTCCATATGGGGTTTCAATGCTTTTATCATTTTAGGCTTCATTTTAGCAGTTTAAAAGCAGAAAAAAAACACTGTTCAATCATGATTTTGCAGAACCTCTGGTTTTGGACAGGTTTTTTTTGTTGGTTTTTTTTTTTTTTGGATTTGGGATAGACTACATAGAAGTATGCTGTACATAAAAGTAAAAGCTAGTGCTTTGTCTTAGTAGTTCTAAGAAATTACAACAAATTAAGTTTTCTTGTATTGAAAATAACATGATTGTATGTTTTGCATTCCTAGAAGTAGGTTAACTGTGTTTTTAAATTGTTATAACTTCACACCTTTTTGAAAATCTGCCCTACAAAATTTGTTTGGCTTAAAACGTCAAAGCCGTGGCAATTTGTTCCTTGATGTGATTGTATTTCCAATTTCTTGTTCATGTAAGATTTCAATAAAACTCAAAAATCTATTCAAAACATTACCTATTTCAAATTCAATTGTGTCCTAAAACATTATTTCATTGGTAATCCTTGTGAAAAAACATTGTTTTCAAAGTATAACTGCCTATGTGAGTGATCAAATTAATGCAAAATTTCTTGTGCTTTCCAACATGTGGCACTGTGAACATCAGCCTGAAAACTAGGAGAAATTACAGACAGCCCAACGGGCGCTCTTTGTTTAATTGCTGTTCAGTAATGTACCAGCATCGAATTTTGAAACTCCTTTTTTCTTTTAAAAAGTGTTGAAATGTATCCAAACATTCACAGAGATCTAATTTATATATAATCTTCTAATGTGATGTGGAGAAGGAAGCAGAGCCTACAATGGTGTTAATTTTGTTCCTTTTTATTAGGTACTGTGGAGTCCCTCTAGAGGCTATTCTGTTGGCATACAGCTTTATTGTATTATTCAGCGTACAAATACATAGGGAAATGGTCTTTGATCTCGAGCATCTTAGTTTAATTTAAGATAATATTGGACTAGGAATGAGAATGATAAATTAGGTGCTGTGGCACAGTAACGAAATTGCTACAGATAACACAGACACATTCTCCATATTCTGCTTATTTCTGTCTTGACGTTTTAATTTGATGTTCTGCCATGATGAACAATTTGCCTTAGAATTCTCATGCCTTGTAATAGAGGCTGTTTGAAAAAAAGACATAATATCTTTTGGGGGCATTCCTAGCTACATTATGGGCTATTACGTGTTGCTTTGACCCTTGTCTTGGACATTCCCGATGTCAATTTTAACTGGCAAGTCATGACATTGCTCTTCCGTTGCTTCTGAGCCATTCTGTACCCCAATGAAGAACATTTGCTTCTCAAGAAAAGAGAGAAACAAACGGATTGAAACTTTCTCTAAAGAAAACTATTGCCGGACCTCTAAATATCCAAATCAGACCATTGCTCATGCTCGATGTCCAGCATTCCAAACGCAGGCTGTCGAGGCAGTGAAACGCCAGTGCTCAGACTCCTCCCTTGGTCTCCTGCTGCTGTTGGTGTCTGGGTGTGTGCTGTCAGGCTGTGGTCAGAGCTGAGCCAGGCCATGGGGCTGGGGATGGCTGCATGGGCTCAGTTTTGACCTGAATTGAGGTGAGGATGTGTATCCGGTTCTCAAAAATGGGTTTGCCCCTGTGTCAGGTTCTTCCTTTCAAATAACAGAATTGGTCATAAAGAATTTAAATTGGTTTTCATAATCTGTATTTAGTGTGTTAGAGCCCTTTTTCTTCCTTTTTTTAAAAAATTTTATTTTTACTTCTTAAGTGAGTGGGGCCGAATCCTGTCCTCTCTGTGCTCTTACTTGAGGAGTGAAGTCAGAGGGGTATCTCCTGGGTTTATGTTTCAGGCTTTTGCTTATGGCAAGGATCTGGCTTGTAATTTAGTTTTAATAGAAAGATTTGCTATCTGATCAGTATGACTTAATAGCAGTAACGTGGCTTTTGGGGTTTTGAGCAGAACCCTTTATTCCCAGTCAGCGTTTGCAGCTCAGTAACCACTGCAGAGGAGATCTGGGCGAGTTCTTTCTGTGCCGGCAGAGCCACAGTGGCCACCACTGCGTGTTCAGGTGCCAGCGCAGGGAGAGGAGCCAGTGGCCATGGGGAGCGGGGAGGAGGCAAAAGGCTCAGGTGTGACATTCACAGAACAACCAAGGGACAGAAATGCTGGAATTGTCTTCCTCCAGAATTGTGCAGCTGCCATCCTGTATTTATTTCTGCCCAAATCACCATTTATCCTAATAATTTTATTGAATATGCAAAGTGAGCTATATATTTTTACAACTGAAAATGAAAGTCAGTAAAGTTTTTATTTACAAGATATACCAAGTTGTTTGATGATTTACGGATACTCAGATTCATTATCTAAATTTGCAGCAGTGCTATACCGAATCCATAAATTTAGCGCATATGACTCGAGTAGTGGTATGTACTGGACTTGAAGAACTTTAAAAATTATTGGAAAAAAACCAAACAACAGCCAACCTGAACAAAGATACTGTAGCCCAGTGGAAAAATCGACCATGCTTGATACAGATACTCAAAGGAAGAATTTTGCACAATCTTCTCAGCACAATTTTGATACGTAGTCAAAAGAAAAAATAAATTTAAATTTACTCTCGTGCATCTGTTTTGACCATTTCTTCAGTAGAACTTAGCAAAAGTCCTCGTACAGATTTCAGTTTGCAGACCAGTACTCAGCTTTTGTGAGTGTCCTGCTGGCGTTGGAGGAGGAGGCATGAAATGGGATTTTAATAATCATTTGATCACTCATTTATAGCAGTTGCTTAAATGTCTGTATTGATAAGGTGTTTGACTTCAAAATAAGAAGTAGGTTGCCAGATTCCTAGCAATTCCAAAACTTGAGCAAATATTTTTACAGCGATTGTGTTATAGACTTACTTTCACATTATTAACAAAATCAGTTTACTAAAATCGGCTTTCAATTCTACTAATTCATTAAATGTAGTCTGCATTTTTTTCAGAGCATTGAAGGTTCAATTTTTTGTAGGAATTGTTTATTTTCAGGACTCAGCTTCTGTAGTCTAATCATTAAAGATTGACAACTGCATTGCTTCAGCTTTTTCAGAATCAACTCTTAGGTAGCTGCTCACCGCATGATTTTGGTGACTGTATACAAACCTGACCCCTTTTTGTCCCCTCTGCATTTGGACATGAAGCCCATTTCTGTATTTTGAACTACCCCAAAAAAAAAACCCAACTGAAACCAGTAGGCACTCTTCTTATAAGGCTAGCAGAAAAATAAATGGGAAGTCTTGAGCAAAAAGTCTTCAACTGGTTCATAAAACGTGTTTGGCACCTAGACCCTAATGCAGATATATGGATTTTCAGGCAGGCTTAATTATTATCCTGAAATGAGGGTGGCCCACACCCAGAACAGCGAGGAGGCTGTCTTGAAGAATCCCTGATCATGCGGGGCCTGGTTGCAGCATTGGTGTGGTCAGGGATTGCTCACATGGGGAGGGTTTGCTGGATTTAATTCTGTCCTTCAGTAGATCAGAGCCTTATAGAAAGAGTGTACTGAGTTGTTTCCTGTTTTTTTCCTACATAAAAAAGAAAAAAAGAAGTTAGAGCTTCTGTTAACTTAGAATTTGAATGAAGCTGTTGTAGTGTATTGGCTTAAAATGTCTTTTGAAACCCAGAGTGGCTAAGTCGAGCATAGATCAGTTGATAAAATACATACATAAAGTGGGGGGGCAGGGAAGAGAAATCTTAAGCTTCTGTTCTTACTCAAACAAAAGAGTGAAGGTGGATCTGCAATATTTTGTTATTGATCAGGAACTTTGGAAATTTTGGAACAGGAGAATCCCTCTGAAGAAATGTTTTAACAACTTGGAGGTTACCAGAAGCTCTGAAATTCAGACAGTTCGCAATATATTGCATCACATTTTCTGATTTCCAGCAATCTGCAAGTGTCAATTTTGTATTTTAACTCCTTCCTTTTACCTGACTATCAGGGAAGCGTGGTTGAGGCTGACCTGACATGTCATGATGTGGACTTGCTAGGTGGGGTTCGCAAGGGACATTAACCTTGGAGTTATCGGTAAGACAACTTTCTTTCTCATTTCCTTCAGTAAGATTAAAGGGCTGGGGTGGGAGGAGGGAGGAGATGAGCACCACAGACCTAAGCACTGGAATATTGTTGAAAATCTGCCATTACTGTGGAGAGATTCCAAGCACTGAAGGTAAAGGTTAAATTTAAATTGGTCCATGTCCAAGAGGAGCATGGTATAGGTTCTTGCAACTGAAATGAATTTGAAAATAAAGATGATTTGTGCTTCAAAAGAAAACTGGATGCTATTTGAATCATAGAATCATTAAGGTTGGAAGAGACCTCTTAAGATCACCAAGTCCAACCGCCAACCCAACCCCACCATGGCCACTAAACCATGTCCCCAAGTGCCATGTCCAGGTGCTGCTTGAACCCCTCCAGGGATGGGGACTCCACCACTGCCCTGGGCAGCCCCTGCCAGTGCTTGACCACTCTTTCAGTGAAGAAATTTTTGTTAATATCCAATCTAACCCTCCCTTGGCACAACTTGAGGCCATTTCCTCTCGTCCTGTCACACTGAGAGATGCTGGAAGCATAAGAGATTCTGAACTCTTAAATTTTTCCTCTGTAACTAAATCCAGGTATGGGGTTTCTTTTACCCCCTGTACCATGAAAAAGCAAAGAACTTACAGCACACTTCAGAGTCCAAGAATGCTGTTACGAAATGTGTCCAAGTAGATCTCTGTAAAATAATAAAATTTTATCTTGAAAATAATAAAGCTGGCATATCATGAGTTTGGATCATTTCTCTGTTGAACATGATAATGCTTAGAAGGCATTAGTTGATAGAGAATTGCCATTAAACCAAGGTGCGGTTGTAGCGGATCCCATTATAAAACCACTGGGTCTCAGTAATCATCTTTTTTGTGGAGGGGGCAATCCGTTGATTCTAGACAAGCAAATAGCAAAAGCTGAAGAGCAGATACGCAAGCCAAACTCGAAACACTTGGACGTGTTGAATTCCACACGGCGCCTGCTCATCTCCCGCGTTTCCTCAGCCAGAAGTGCCAGGACCGTTCTTGTGCCGACGGTGCGGTTGCGTGGCGCTGAGGAGCAGAGGCGTCGGGAGGAGCTTGCTAGGCTGTAGGACCGTCCAGGTTCAGTCCTTTACTGCAGAGCTGAGCAGCGCCGGTGCTGAGGAAATGGGACTGGTGAGTAGAGGTGTTTTGTAAGGGCTTTTCAGATACGAAGTATTTGTTCAATTCCAGATGAACTTTGCTTGTCATACGTTGATGTGAGACTGGTTGATCACACAGGAGTCCTCAACAGTGTTTCATTTGAAGGATCTTAAACAGAAATAGTCTCTGGATTTTCCCATCTGCATGTGAACAGGAGGTGCAGTAGGATGTGCTGGATGTGCTTGGGTGGGCTGGCTCTGCCAAGCGAAGCAGACGGTGAGGTTGTTAC